GCTTGGAAGGCGTCTCCCCAGGGTCACCCCAGCCTGTCACCCCGCGGGAGTGCAGCTGGGGATGCTTGTGCTGGGACACGGCCCCTGGTACGAGGTCCCTGCCTCCTCCTGCCTTTTGCAGCGACATCCCCGCTCCATCCAGTGAGCCGCTCGGAGCTGCAGCGGCCAGCAAGAGCAAGAGGAGCCGAGTCTTGTTCTCAGTAGAAAACCTCTCTGAGATGCAGGGAGCCAGAAGTGTCTGGAGAGCAAGCAGTCCCCAAACAGCCCTTGTCTGGGCTGAGTTTGCAAACCCCCCCATGCTGTGGTACCCGAGCCCTTGGCCAGGGTGCGTGCCTGTCCCTGCCACCAGGCCCAGCCTGCAGGCACGTGGAGAACCAGACCATCTCCACCTGGGCCCCCAGCCTTGCTCGCTGGGGATGACAGGCATTTTGGGGACAAGATCTCTCTCGCTTACACGGTGCTGGCAAGTTGCTTCAGGCCGTGGTGGTGCCGATGCACACAGCGCAGCGCATGCTTCTGCCTCCCCAGCGATGAGGGAGGAGGGGAGCCCATCGCAAAATGATGCTGGGCAGGGAAAGTGGTTTGGAGCCATCTCCAGGGGGTTGGTGTCATCTCCAGAGGGTTGGTGTCATCTCCAGGGGGTTGGTGTCATCTCCAGGGGGTTGGTGCCATCTCCAGGGGGTTGGTGCCCAGCGCTGTGTGGGCAAAGTGTCTGCCCGTGGAGCTGGTGGGGTGCCTGGCGGTGGGGAGAGCGGGCTGGGACCTCTGCAGATGTACGTGTGGGCGAGGCTGTGCTGGGAGCATCCCGGTGGGCTCTGCTGGGCACGTGGGGTGGCCAGGGCTGGGAGGGACAGAGAAGACCTGGACCTGTGCGTGGTCCTGCCTCTGCCTCTGCTTTCTTTGCCTCCTCACCTTGTCCCTCCACAGGGAAGACGAGTCCCCCGAGACCTGGCCCTGCATGGTGCGGGGCTGGTGCAGGTCCCTGGGGCACGTGCTACAGACCCACCCCGCAATCCCCGCCGTGGCAGTGATCGCGCTAACGACAGAGCGCTGAGAGCTGCAGCAAAGGGCCATGACCCAGGGGCTCCTGGTGGGGAAACGCCTGGCGATGGTGTGGGAGAGACCCCCCAGCTGAGCCCTGTGGCTCAGACAGCCGTGGTGCCCCAGGGGATGGAGCCCAGGTCCCCCTCCCTGCCCCACGGGCATCCCCCTCCTGCCTGGGGTGCCGGAGCCGCTGCTGACCCTCCCCTCTGCCCTTGCTGTCTCCGCAGAACTCCATCCGGCACAACCTCTCCCTGCACACCCGCTTCATCCGCGTGCAGAACGAGGGCACGGGCAAGAGCTCCTGGTGGATGCTGAACCCCGAAGGCGGGAAGACGGGGAAGACGCCCCGCCGGCGGGCGGTCTCCATGGACAACAACAGCAAGTTCCTGCGGATCAAGGGAAAGGCCAGCAAGAAGAAGCAGCTGCAGGTGACGCAGGAGCGCGGGGAGGACAGCCCTTCCTCCCAGCAAGCCAAGTGGTCGGAGAGCCCCGCGTCCCACGCCAGCGATGAGTACGACGCCTGGGCGGACTTCAGGACGCGGGCCAACTCCACGGCCAGCACGCTGAGCGGGCGCCTCTCGCCCATCATGTCCAACCACGAGCCGGATGAGCTGGAGGAGGACGACGGTACCCCTTCCTCTCCGCTGATGTACCCCAGCCCCTCCAGCACCATGTCTCCTTCCCTCAACGCCCGCTGCTCCGTGGAGCTGCCCCGGCTGACCGACCTGACTGGCACCATCAGCCTGAACGAGAGCCTTGGGGAGAGCATGCTGGAGGACCTGCAGGACGGCTACACCATGAGCCCTTCGCAGCAGCTTCCCCCGGCCGCCCTGCGGCAGCGGAGCTCCAGTTTCACCTTCAACTCCAAGTGCTCCACCATGGGGGCTGCCACCAACACCTACTGTGGGACTATCTACAGCCAGCCAGCCATGAGCCTCATGCGCCGCCTGCCCATGCAGACCATCCAGGAGAACAAGCAAGCCACCTTCTCGCCCGTCAGCTCCTACAGGAACGCCTCGCTGCAGGACCTGCTCTCCTCCATCTCCTACGCGCACAAGGAGAGCATGGTCCCGGGGGACCTGCCCCTGCCGCAGGCCAGCCCCATGGTGCCGGCCCGTGGCCACAGACACAACCCGCTGCTGTGCGGGAGCGGGGAGCAGGGTTTGTCCTCCTACCCGCCCCACTCGGGCTCTCTCATGAAGAGCAACGCTTTGTACCACCCGTCACCAGCCGGTCACCACCCTGCGGCCAACACCAGTGCCTTAGCTAATCCTGTCAGCCTTATGAGCTTGCCCAGTGACACGTGCAGCATGACGGCCATGCCGCACCACGGGCATCTGCATTCCTACGCTAATAACCAAGGGGCACACATGAGCTTGCTGGATTCACTGCAGGGCCCCTACCCGGGGGCTGTCCACCCCCCCGTGTTGGGCCAAGACAGGTTCCCAGCAGACCTGGACCTGGACATGTTCAATGGGAGCCTGGAGTGCGATGTGGAGTCGATCATCCTGAATGACTTTATGGACAGCGACGAGATGGACTTCAACTTCGACTCGGCTCTCCCACCGCAGAACGGGCTCAACGTGCCCGTGCTGCCCGGGGGTCCGCAGCCCACGAACCAGAGCTGGGTGCCCGGGTGACGCCCGCCGCGGGGTGGGGGCTCGCCACTGAGAAGCCACGAGGGGAACATTGAGACTAACTTTTTTTTTTCCTTTCTCTTCTGCCTTTGTTTGTTAAGATGGGCTAGAGCCATCGGTCTGAGATTGAGGTCGAACACGAAACACAAACCATAGGGTCAAATATTGAGATGGGGTAGGGCCCCCAGCCCCCAGCCCACACGCGTGCCCGATCTGCTGGGTCCTCCCGTGAGCATCCTCTGGAGGATGGAGGGCAGGCGGGCGGGAGAGGCAGCCAGAGCCAGGTGGGGCCGGGGGGCGAGCAGGAAGGGAAAGCCTTTCCAGATGGTCCCGGTGCCCTGCTGTGACAGTGTCGGTTTGATTTGTCCTTGGGCTGGGTGATGAGGTGGTGATGACTGGTTGCGTGGGAACCCCCTGCGTGGGCATCTCTCTCTGGAAGGGGACGCTTTTCTCTGAGCCACCTTGGAAAACGAGTCCTCTGAGTAGAGGTGTCAGGAGCGTGGACCCTGCCCCAGGGCAAGGCGGGGCTCATCACCCCTAAATCCCGGTGGAGATCTGAGCTCTGCCAAGCCCACACACCCAGGCCACATCCACTGCGGGTCTCCTTGCGTGGGTCCAGGCAGGTTTTCTTACCAAGCAGTGAGAAGGTGGGGGCTGGTGATGGAGGAAGGATGCCCTGGGGACAGCATCTTGGCAGCCCACGTGCCCGCTGGTGGCTGGGGGTGCCACGGTGATGCTTGCCCGCAGGAAGGCTGTGGTACCCTGCCCGGAGCAGGCGTGGGCACGCTCCTGCATGTGGTGCACAGCCCTGTACGCGATGGTCCTGCTGGGAGTGAGGTGCTGCTGGCCTGGGTCCCTTGTGCCGGAGACTCAGGGGGAGCTCACAGGGTT